TTAGGGTCTAGGGTTTAGGGCTTAACCCACCAGAACCTACTTTTTTTTGTAGGATCCTTATAAATTCCATATTAGGGCTCATAATAAGAACCTACAAAAAAAAGGTAGGTTTTGGTAGGTTTAGGTATCGTTATAGTAAATCATGAACCACCATTAATAACTGTCGAGAATGCGCGAGTTTCGTCACTTGGTGCTTTGTTGGGTTTCGGCTCCGGGTGGTAAGGCATTTTTTGTTTTGATGATGGTGGGGGTCCGCGGGTTCCGTCAACTGGCTAACGAATTTGATTTGGGTTCTTGTTGGACTTTAGGGTATTAAGTTGCTTGTTTGTTTTACGTTTCTGTTCCAGGCGTATTGTTAAGGGCCCTAAACGCTAAACCGTTGCGACGCTGCGGGGCTTCTTTCAGCATATTTTCTGGCCTGCAAGATTCTTGTAGAAAGTGGCACAGAGCCTTTTGAGCAGTAGGTGTTCGTGCTTATCGGGTGTTGACGGTTTCGGTTCTAAGGTTTGTGTAGTTGGGGATAAACGTCAAACCCTATAAGCCCTAAACCCTACACCCTAAACCCCAAACCCCACCGGATTCGGGGTACCGGTCTAAGGTGAGAGATACGCTCCTAAGCTCTGGGCCCTTTCTTCACGAATCTGGTTCGTGGCTCTAGGGTTTAGGGTTTAGGCCCAAAAGAGTGATCTGAGAATCTGAACCCATGGCCCCTGGCGTGTGGTTTTTCTTCAAGCTCTTACCTCGACCCCACAAGTATGCAGAATGATAGAGCCGTTTGGAGGTGTTAGGCCATGATTTTACCTACTTTTGGTGGTTTAGGTATATATAAATATGTATATATGTATATATACATATATATGCTCTTATATGGCCTCTACCTTAGCCCCCAAATAACCTAGCTTCTTTGTAAGGACTTAGATAAAGAAGTCATCATAATAAGCCCAAAAAAGGGAAAGGTTCTTTCGGGCGGGTCCAGGTAGTGTTGGGGTTACCATGACGGACCCCCGCCTTCCTCAAGCAGGCACCAGGTAATGGAGCCAGTACTTGGAGATTCATGAGTAGTTATAACTGAGGTTAGAAGTATGGAAACTATACTTATAAACCATACGAGGGGACTTCTAACCCCACTTATAACTACGCACGAACCTCCAAGTATGGTCCTTAACGGTCGCACAATGCACGGTAGTTGGGAGGTTTATAAATTTGTAAGAAATTCTTTACAATGCTTTGAGGAATTCTGATCATTTTTTTAGAAGGTTCCATGCGGGTCTTACAAGGCTTTAGGTGTACAGACGGCTGAGGGCCCTGGATTTAGCGCTTTTATGGGTGTAGGGTAAGCGACAAAGCTAAAGCCCTGAAGCCTTAAATTCCGGAAGCCCTCATGCATTAAACCTGAAGCCAATTTCCTCGATCTCCTGACTCACGTTTTTGCCGTTCCCTGCGTAGCTTGCTGTGATGACCTCCAGCCTGCCGAAGGCAGCAGCGAGGACGGAACCGGCCCTTTACCCGGAGGGGCACCTCTCTCTGTCGGCGTACCCAAGTTCGGCACCAGACGCACACTTTCGGGCGATTCAGCTCGCTGTCTGCGACCAAATCCATTTGATCGAGGATGTGGCCCTTAATATGCAGCTACAGACCGACGGTTAAGTGTATGTGGCGCTGATGGTCCGCATCCAATCCCTGCCGATGCTGAGGCCGGACGCTCTCCATATCACCACGCCAACTATGACGGTAAACTTGCTGCAGCTGGTCCACGACGTACAGTTCATCTTTGACACGTGGAAACCAGAAGGATCGCGAAGTTAGGTTGTAAACCCTACTACTCCAAGCGTGCAACCCCAAATTTCTAAACACCTGAACCTTACTGGCCCCGAAAACATCACCACCAAGCAGAACAATCGCTTAATGAAATCAAAAGATGGCAGGGCCATGGCCACTTTTCTGGCTGCGGCTGTCCTGCAATTCTGACTGGCGCTTCTGTTTGGGGGTTGGGTTAATTACCCATAGCCCAGTGAGCCCAATACCCGCCAAATCGGTTTAGGGTTTAGGGCTTATAGGGGAAATTCCCTAAACCCTAAGCCCTAAACCCTAAACCCATTAATGTTTATGAACCCTAAACCCTAAACCCTATAGGGGAAATGTTGAGGGTTCAGTTCAAGGTTTGGGGGCGATTGTTTCTCAAATTTTGGTTGACTTGCGTGCAGGTATGTCTGAACAAGGGGGATAAAGGCCTCACTGGACAAACCTCTAGCTCCAAACCTGTACCACGGGGATGATTTTGTGAGTAGCCGAAGCCCTAAACCCTAAACCTTAAACCCCTAAATCCTAAACCACCAAACCCCTAAACCCCTAAACCCTGGCGGATCTTTCAAGAACACTGAGATCCTCAGTTCTTTGGCATGGGATGTGGCCGAAACAAACCTCTAAACCCCTAAACCCCTAAACCCTGAACCCCCTAAACCCCTAAACCCCTAAACCTTAAACCCCCTAAACCCTAAGCCCCTAAACCCTAAACCCCCTAAACCCTAAGCCCCTAAACCCCTAAGCCCCTAAACCCTAAGCCCCTAAGCCCCTAAGCCCGAAGACTCTCCTTTGAACCTACTACTACTACTACTACTACTACTACTACTACTACTACTGCTACTGCTACTACTGCTACTAAGGATGCTCCCGTGGCGCTGAAGCGAGGGCGCCTCGGTCAGGTGGGGAGCACACAGGGCTTTAAAACCTAAACAGCACCCGACCGTCCGACCTTATCCCAACAAGAAGTTTAGGGTTTAGGGGTTTAGGGTTTAGGGGTTTAGGGCTGTAGGGGTTTAGGGGTTTAGGGCTGTAGGGGTTTAGGGGTTTAGAGGTTTAGGGCTTAAGGGCTTTAGGGCTGTAGGGGTTTAGGGTTTTAGGGGTTTAGGGCTTTAGGGCTATAGGGGTTTAGGGGTTTAGGGGCTTAGGGCTTTAGGGGTTTAGGGGTTTAGGGGTTTAGGGGTTTAAGGGCTTTAGGGCTTTAGGGCTTTAGGGGTTTAGGGCTTAGGGCTTTAGGGCTGTAGGGGTTTAGGGTTTACGGGTCTTGGGGTTTAGGGTTTCGGATTTAGGGCTAACCTTAAGGAAGGAATCACCCTTAGATCAAAGCTAGGGGCCCTATGCACCCCTATACTTTGAATCCCTATATTGTATATGAATGTTAAACCCTTTCAGGGTTCACGTCGTCCTTAAGGTATAGGGATTGAAGACTTCGAAATTTGGCTGCATACATTTGGCAGAGTGAGTTTCAGGTTTTAGGGTTTGTTGCTTACTCGGAGGTTCTTGGGATTTCGTGAGCCCTAGTGTGCCCGAACACTGGGTCAGTTGGATGATATATATATATATATGCCCCCAGATACCAAATACTGTTTCTCTAAATAAGGGTCCCTTTTAGGGTCCTTTTTGTGAGGGTGGCGTACCGCTTTTTTTGGAGACACCCAATAAACTCAATTCAAAGAGCTGCCCACTTGCTGTTACCAAGTCCTCTCATTCTAGGAGTGAGGAGATTGATTGTTCAGGTTCGGTTCGCAACCGTAACTAATCCCACGCACCAAGTACCTAGTAATAATCGCCTACTTCCGAGTGCCGAATTAGTGGGTCCTTTGCGTCGTACTTTGGACCCTGTGGATACTGCATACTCATCTCATATGCACGAATCCTCGAAGACCTATAAGCCTTGAACAGCTGTGGTCTTTGCCTTGACCTTGAACCCAAATGGTCCTAAGTACATAGTACATAGAAAGCACGGATGCGATCGTAGGAGCTACTATCATGGTGTGGGCCTTTCGCTCACTGCTTAGAGCTTCATGGTTGCAGGGCCCATTGCCCGAAGGGTCCATGCACTCATATAGTATACACTTTGGCCTTAATGTAGTCCCTGCTTCGGTACTTTATTTCTGGCGCAATTCTCTACTATAGGGGCCATGGGGCCGAAGCCCTAAACCCTTATTGGCACCCCTCTAGAACCCCTATATCCTAAACCCAACACCCTTTTAATACCTCTATAGAGCCCTGAGAAGAGGAGCCATCAGAGTGGAGGATGGAGGGTTTGAGGAAGGTTCAGATCTAGTTTGGGTACTCAGCGCTGGGTCGGTGGTTCGGCTTAAGGTTTACGATTTAGGGTTTGGGGTTTAGGGTGCAGGGTTTAGGGTTCAGGGTTTAGGGTTTAGGGCTCAGTTGCTTCAAACCCTGACACCCCCAAAAAACAGATTGGACAAGCTTTCCTTGGAGGCTCCTTCTCCGGCTGCTTGTCCTCTTACCCGGTGCGCCTTGCCCCTAAACCCTATAAGCCCTAAGCCCTGAACCCTATAAGCCCTATAAACCTTATAAACCCTAAACCCTATAAGCCCTATAAACCTTATAAACCCTGAACCCTAATCCCCTCAGCTGAAGGGTGTGTCAACTCCCGGCCATCCTAAACCCTAAACCCTAAACCCTAAACCCTAAACCCTAAACCCTAAACCCTAAACCCTAACTAGACCATCTTCCGAGGGTCGAGTTAGGGTTTAGGGTTTAGGGTCCTCGTGAACCCTACACCCCAAAACTCCCTGCAGACTCCGATCGGCTCCTACCACTGCGGGACGGTTTAGGGTTTAGGGTTCAGGGTTTAGTGTTTAGGGTTTAGGGTTTAGGGTTTAGGGGGCCAGACTCCGCTGATGGTGTTGTTTTAGATGGTGGATGTCGGTTGGGGGTTTACGGCTTTAGGCGCCTAGGCATTCGAGGCTCTTGGTGGTAGGTGTATGTAGGGCTCCTTCTTCAATACTGGGTTCTTGTTGGCTACAAATTTGCGTTTTTAGGACCTGCGAAGACTCTCCCACCTGCAGCCCTATCAACAACCTGTAATGAGGGTTGAGGGTTTAGGGTTTAGAGTTTAGGGTGTTGGGTTTAGGGTTTTGTGTTGAAGGTGCTCCGGGCAAACGGCCCAGAACGTCTACGTCGTGAGCTTCCACGATCAGGCACTGTAGTACTTTTATACGTGTTCGATAAGGGTTTTGTCAGCATTCTATAAAGCTTAAGCCCTAAAGCCTAAAGTTGCATACCCTAAGCCCCAAACTCTGAATCGTAGTGTATCACAGAGAATCGTAGAGATATTTGGGAATTTGCCCAGTGCTTAGGGTCTGCTTGGATGTTCTTAGGATATAGGGGTTACATGATTTGGGATGTTAGGCTTGAGTTCGGAACTGTGTGGTTTAGGATGTGGAGTCGTCGAACGGTTTGATTTAGGAGAATCGTTTCAGCGTATATTGTAGTGTAGGATCTTGACATAGCGACTACAGGGATGCTCATACTCAATGTTCAGACCTCCGGACGAAGCCCTAAATCCCAACCCCTTTAAGCCCTCTTCCCAAAACCCTAAACCCCCTAAGCCTCAAAGCCCCCTAAACCCTACACCCTATTTTCTAAACCCTAAACCGTAAACCTTTTTGTGAACGGGGGGGAGGTGTCGCAGGATTCGAATCTTAGCTTGTGTGCACGTGCGGCTTTTGGGCTGAGGGGTTAGGCTTGGGTTTAGGGTTTAGGGTTTAGGGTTTAGGTTTGAGGGTTTGAGGGTTTGAGGGTTTGAGGGCTTGGGCCTCGGTTAGCTTTCAGCACCCAGGATTTAGGGGATAGAGCCGGATGTAGGGTTTAGGCTTCGGGGTTCAGGGTTGGGTTTTGGTTTTAGGGCAGTTTGAATGCTTAGTTTTTCACCAGTCCACAACTTATAGCTTTCTAAACTGTGTGGTTTTTCTACATTATGGTCTTCTTGTACAGGCGAGCCTGTCATGGGGCCTGGGTTTTTGCACATCTCCTGTTATAAGGGCGCCGAACTAGTTTGGGATCCTAGTTTAGACTATCACCCTAAACCCTAAACCCCTACTCATGTCAGGCCAGTAGTTGCCGATAGTGTGTCTACAATGCCTTTCACCAGGCTCTAGCTCGCAAACTAAATATTGTAGTCCAGTCTGAAGTGTAGCCCTACCTCAAAAGTCAGGAGGACAGAAAAGCTTGCAGGGGCTTTAAGTTTGTTTTTTTTTGGGGGGGTTCCGCAGCCCTCAACACTAAACCCGAAACCCTAAACCTCACCACACCCGGAACCCGACTCCCACACCCTTGCGTGTAGTCCAAGCCCGTCCCCACTCCTCCCAAGGCTTTCAAAGTTTAGGGCGCAGGTTTGAATGTACTGTAAGGTTGGCACTAAACCCTAAACCCTACACCCTACACCCTTAACCCGTCAGGTTTAGGGTTTAATGGTGTGTTGAAGTGCCTGACTGAGCATGTGTGTTTGCTTGTGGCATAGGACACCCTTTCTGGTAAAAGGACTGTGCTGGGCCATGTGGAAAAACGAGGTTCCAGGTCAAGAACCGCCTGAACCCCTAAACCCTAAACCCTAAATCCCTAAACCCCTAAACCCCTAAACCCGTAAGCACCTGCTTCTGCTAGGTGGTGTGAGCCCCCTTCCACTAGCTGCCGCCAGTGGCGGAGCCGCCCGGGAGCTCAATGGAGCTCCTATACTTGGAGGATCATGGGACTTAGTAAGTAAGGTTATAAGTACCCTAATTGGGGTTATAAGTACCTATAACCCTTCACCCTAAACCCTAAACCCTAAACCTTATTTATAACCATACCAGTATATATATATATATATATGTATGTATGTACGTACGTACGTACGTAGGTAGGTAGGTAGGTAGGTAGGTAGGTAGGTAGGTAGGTAGGTATGTATGCATATGTGTCTGTATGTATGTATGTACATACAAATGAATGTATAGATATATGCCTCAAAGCCAGATTCCTGATATGCAGGCCCCTATATTGCACATTCCCTGGGCAACCCAACAACTACGTCCCTAAAGACATGACGAAAGCATCACAAGGAAGCCGTAAAATCCAGGTTTTCTAAGGGTCAGCCAGGTCTGCCCTAAACCTCTATTCCGGCTGTCGGGTGGTTCAGAGTTTAGGGTGTTGCACATTCGGGCAAGTAGCCTTTAGCGACTGTAGCCGTCTGTTCGGGTAGAATATTATTCATATCACCCAGACGTTAACAAACTCGCAACCCATGCATCTTAAACTTCAACCCGTAACCATTAAAACCCTTGAACTCTTGAACCCCAAACCTTATAGCCCTTAATGACTAAACCCTGAAATGCCCGAAGGATTTGAGCTTGCTTCTCCTTATGGGTTGCGAGAAAGGCGTTGATTCGGATGGTGCTGTTCCAAGGCGAAGGTTTAGGGCTTTGGGCTTTGGGTGTAGGGTTGATTGTGATGCCGATGAAGATGTCGAGGTTGCAGGCGCTTCTGCTTGATGGTCGCAGTGCTGTGTGATAATCTATACCTTCGTTGTTATGTCGATTCCTGTTGTGTGCAAGGATTGTTATGCCAATTGCCGCCGCTGCTGTTGCTGCTGCCTCTGCTGGTGTTGGTTTTGTTGCTGGTGGCGGTTGTGATGGTGGGGGGGGGGGTGTAATGACTACTTCAGTACACTTTATCCTTGTGCAGTGCAGTGACAAATTGGTCAAGCTTAATCCACCAGTGCTCTTGCAGTCATGATTACCACGAGTGATAAGACTGCTACCATCACCTTCGCGACTATTCCTGCAGCGCCAACGACTGACAACAGCTACAACCTGCACTTCCGGCGGCTACTGCTACTGCTGCTGCTCCTACTACTACTACTACTACTACTACTACTACTACTACTCCTACTACTCCTATTGCTACTACTACTACTACTACTACTACCACTACTACTTCTACCACTACTACTTCTACTACTACTACTACTACTACCACTACTACTACTACTACTACTACTACTACTACTACTCCTACTACTACTACCA